TTAAAGCCCCTGTCTCTCCCTTGCGCCCCCCCCCCTCCCCCAGGTTGTCTGTGTACTATAGAATATCGTGCTGACGTCTCGTCCCAGTTGATAATAAATCCTACATCTTTACAGAAAAACAAGACATTTCTGCATGTTGTGTTTGATGACAGAGACAGACCAGCCTGTGTCCATGTGTGACCTTACCTTCCATAGTAGCACAGCTAACAGCAGAAAGATGAGGATTCCCACCAGCAGACTGATGGCAATGATCCAGCCCACGACGTAACCTCTGGGCTCCTGACTGTGCAGAGCCTCGAACACCAGCTGAAACACAGCAGAACTTCAGTCAGTGAGGCAGTGAGTCCAGCACAATACGACACACAACACCAACGCACACACGCTACGTCATGTGCTACTCATGATGCAACACAGTGCAATGAAAACAACAACCGAAACACATCATGTTTTGTTGCAGTTAGGTGTTGTCTCCGGCTCGTGACCAGTGATCCAGAGGAGCTGTGACCATGACCATGACAGAGCTGGAAGAGTCAAATTTAATTCAGAGAAATGCAACACAGTGAAGAGCTGAAATCAAATGACCTCACTTCCAGTCAGGATAAATTAAAAAATACTTTTTTAAAGCCCAGGTTTACAAAACATCAAGGCTCTTCAGCCATACTAATGCTGCCTTTGGTGTGACAAGAGGAGACGGAGAAGAACAGAACCCAAAGAACACCACCTTCATGTTGGAAAGTGGAATGGTTTGATGCATCTGGAACAGAGAACCTTGAGAAGAAATCTGTCACAGACAGCAGTGTTATTAAGTCTAGGACTTTGAATGACCTGAAGATGCTTTGAAATGGTGAGAAACTTTGTCCACAGAGCCATGAGTTAATGCTACTGACCGACACAAAGCCTCATCCGTTTAATTCTCTCTTCAAAGTCGTCCTAAATGAATATGTCTGGAAATGCAGTGATGAACATTCCTCTCACTGTAATAACGACACGAAGCCCGTCACACGTTCCTACGCTTAATTTTTAAATTCACTTCTCAATCAAATGCTCGTCAGCATGTGCTTTCTTTAGCGCTCGTCTTAGTAACACCTCAGCCGCCGCTTCACCTCGCTGTAAAATAACACACTGCTGCAGCCAAATAAGAATCTTTATCGTTACAGTAAATTAAACATCATCCACTCCTCTGTCCACAGATGTCTGAGATCATTTCCTGAGGCTCAGACTATCAGACGAGGTCTGATGGTTATCTCTAACAACTGCTAGGTTCCACAATAAATAACAGCTAATGCTCTTTCCCATGATGACTTGGAGTTAACACTGACCTGCTGGTTATCCATCACATATTTCAAATTCAACTCACTACATGGTGTGATGGTAAACTATGAAGGAGTACGGTGTCATCCAGGGAAATGTATCTTTTCTAAACATGATTAGAAAAAACTGAAAAAAAGATTGAAAATTGAGATTTATGACAAAATACAGATGTACCAGCTCAGTTGACTCATTGACCTCACAGTTTGAACTGTGTTTGTAGCTCCTCCCGCTGAAGGGCTTCATGCTGCTTTTATTATCATTCAAAGGTCTTGAATACTATACCTCAGGCATGCCCAAACTATTCCTCAAAGGGGCCGTGTGGCTACAGGTTTTTGTTCCAACCAACCAAGAGCACATAGTTTGACCAATCAGCTGTCTAAAGACGGAGACCAGTTGATTAAACCTGTCAACTCAGGTGTGCTACTGCTTGGTTGGAACAAAAACCTGCAGCCACAGCACCCCTGCTCTACCTGGACAGATCTGCACTGAACTCTCATTTTTGTCAACTATCACATAACACAAATTATCTGAGCAGAAGTTAAAATCATTGCATAAGATGACTTGTCAGTCAAACCAGTATCGTACTTTGACACACTCTAGTGTGACTCTTGTTACCGCACACAGTGGTGGACACTTCCTGAAGACACTGAGCCACTCCGCTGCTTCACAGTGCTGTGCTGCATGGGCTTTGAACACAAATGTGGCATGAGACGCCAACTGCGAGCCAAGACAAAACCAGGCGGACAAGTGAAGATTAATCTTTCTGTTGCATAGTTTCCCACATTAACACCACCCCCCCCCCCCCCCCCCCTCAGCTCTGGAATCTAACTGTTGTTATGCGAGCCAAAGGGACTGAAAGAAAACTCTGACGGTCGTTGCCCTTTTTTGACTCTGTATTTCCCAATTTCATCAACAAAATCAGTTATTGCTCGGAAGATGAACCTGAATCGAACGTTTGTTTACTTTGACTCTGTGACACTATGTTTGTCTTGTGCACCGAAATGAAATGGAAACTCTCGGAGTCTGTTTACATGTGACATACATTGAATTTTTTTGTTCTTCATAAGAAACAAATAGTTTTGCATAAATCGGTGCTTTCTTCAACGAGTGGAAAACAGGATGTAAGAAGGTAACTGTGTTTACTAAGCCCTATCTGCACACATGCCAGGAGCTCAGGGTCAGATGGGTTGCAGACTGGTCACCACCCTAATCACTTAACAGATCCCCGCTGTGAGCATCCTGCACTCTCTGTTTAATCATCACATATGATCTAGGGGGGCATTCAATCACTCAGTGGGCAGCAGTGGGGGCAGGGTGTGTCCTTGAGCACAGCTGAGGACCCAGTGAACGGCCAATAGAAGTGCAGGCCATACATTACATTACAGCCTCAGTTCACAGCTGCTGCCTGGACTCATATCCTTTATAAATGACCAAAATGGACACATCTGAGTCCAGGAATGTCTGAGCACACCACAGTGACTGTATGTTTAAATATAAATACAGGACAGTTTTATATTCGTATTGATAAAGTGGCACAACATAAATGTTAGATGCTTGTGGAAATGTCTCACTCTTTATTTAGCCATTACATTATCATGCAGCAGACCAATAAGGATCTGCTGATGCAGGAAATACACTGCATTCCCTCATGTACTTTTCCGCCTCTCCTGACTTGTTGATATTATCGGTTTAATTGTACATTTTTAAGTGAGGGTTTCTTTGCTGTAATTAAAACATTTTTTACTCACAGTAATGTCCTCTGGGAGGCCATTTGGCACCTCCACTGCCTTGTCATTTACGTGCACGCTGCCCCTTGTCACAAACTGGATGACTGAGGAACTATCCTGTGAATTAGGACAATGCACAGTATTTGAATTATATGTCACAATAGTCAGAAACTGAACATTTGAGGCGTTGACAGGTGTCTCACCCTCTTTAGGATTTCAGTGTTGAGCAGGAGTTTTATATCGATGCTTAAAGCTTCATCTTTCAGCTGTGGGCCCAGGCTGCAGGAGATTGTCATACAGGCTCTCCCAGGCCGGTCGCAGTCCTGATAAAACAGACACATGTGAAGATGAAGAAGAACGGGAAGGGAGTCAGAGGGGGAGGAAGAATGTGGGAGAGGAAAGGATGTGTGATAAACAGATGTTGTACTGTTAGAAAAAAGGAGGAATTCCACCGGGGCCAACTGTTGGTGACCCCTGTAGTGTCAAAGAGCAATGAGTGGGCCGAGTTCTTACCAAGACTTTTCGTCCTGATTTGGTGAAGAAGGCAAATATGGAGTGGAAGATACTCTCTCTGTCCTGGGGAATAGTGCACGGTGTGGGGTTCTTGTGAGGCGTGCAGTTTCCTCGTCCATCAACCACCTGGAACATGAACAAGTTGTGTTGGTTGTGAGATAAAACTCAGAATCCAACAACAACAACAAAACTGTGGACACAAATAGTCACCAGAACATGAGCGCTCCCACAATTGTTATGAGTCTGCAGGGGTCACAGGAACTCCTGCTTCCAGTCAGATTTCCCATATGGGGTGATTAAGAGGTGTCCGCTTTACTGCCCTCCCCCCAGGGAACACTTCCCCTCTCCCCTCTGGTGAGCCTGACCTAAAGCTTCACAGATGGAAGTCTTGACCAGCTTTCCTCATTGTCCGCACTGCTGCCACCCATCATGCACCAGCATGAAGTATTGCACTCCACCATGTCCTGCCGTCTGCTGCAGTTGTTTTTGTGAATAGTCAAATATAACATTGACTTACGCTCGACGAAATCCCTGACACGGGCAGATTTTTCACAGTGAATAATGAAGCAGAAAACCCACCCACAACATATGGAGCCACTGACAGGACCCTGTATATCATGTCCGAACAATTGGAGGCTTGTATTGGATGTAAGAATATCTGGCTATAAAATAAGAGTGTACGACTGTCCAGTGTGGCACAGACTTGAAGCAGCGTTAACTTTGTTTATGATGTGTGGCCCGAGGCTGGGATGGTATGGGCAGTAGCCAGCTCCGCAGGTGTCCTATTCCCTTTTCGTGCAAGCTGTCTGATCCCCTGAAAGTGATTCCAGATGGGCGCTAGGAGGGTGGGATACAGTCGACGCTGTCTGCCCATTCACAGTAAATACAATTAACAGCTTGAGCTCTCCGAGGATCTACCTATATGAAGGGGCGCGACGCAAGGGTTAAGAAAACATTGAGACCCAGAGGGAGTATTACGTGTCTTTATCTAAATGCAAAATGTTGTGAAACAAAATGGTCAGCCCGGCTTCAGTAGCAGCATCAACACTTTCACGTAGGTTTTCACCGGACTAGCGATGCCTCAGACAAAGCAAATTGTCCAGGCCAGAGTTTCACAGCTTTCTTTACTTTGAAGGGATTCTCTGAACTGCAGCTGTGCCATGAAGAGAGGCAACGGAGCAGTAACTGACTGGAGAAACGAAATAAAACAAGGCTGCCTGCAGATGAGTCGAGTAATAAATAAAGACTGGGGCCGGACGTTTGACAAAGATAGACTGCTGTTGGCATCCACCTGTGTTTCAATGATGTGGAACATGTCAGCGCCGTTGCCAGCCAGGCGGTTGGGTATCCTGATATCCACTGTGGATCCAGGCAGCCTGCTGGGACCCTTGTTTATGGCCTGGAACCACATCACACAGAGAAAGGGAAAGGCAAAGAGAAGTGAATATACTGCGTCTGCGTGTCTGCGAGAGTTGAGGCATAAGAAACTTTAGAATTTCAAAATCCTGCGTATGCATTTTGTGACAGCAGTACCTGGAAGGTGAGATTCAGGGGCTGGAAGTTACATTCCATGTCCTCGAGTTGGACAAAACGTGAGGCATCAATGGAATTTCCATACACAAAGGACGTCGGTGTCACCACGCTGCAGAGGAGGGGAAGCCACATGGTGCATTAGCATTAGCATTAAAAATAAATATTTATTTGAATGTAGACTAAGAGTCTTTATCCTCAGTAAGACCATTGGCCTGTTTGTTCTGTGGTGTCAATTAATCTGTAGGGCAATGTCTGCCTGTGTTCTCTTTTTTCCTTGATTTTTTTTTTTGTGACAGTGAAACGTTTTAGAAAAGCAAAAAACTACTCAGTACTAGTATCGTAACTCAGTCCTTTTACATATAATGGAAAAAGTGATGGTTTGTTTCAGTTTACAAGATAAGACCGAATGTTTTAGGTCAGAAAATGTTTAAAATAATATATTTTTAGGGACATAATACAATTAGAATCTTGAGGAAGTACAGTGTTCTAATGAGGGTAATTCATGTTTTGTTACATCATTATTGAAGGTGTAAAAGCACAAACACACCACTAGGTGCTCAGCATCATCTTCAACCAGCAGGGGGAGTATCACTTTGACATGTCCTGGTAGGATTAGGCCCTGCACACACTCCTCCAGTCTCCTCATAAAACCAATTACTTTTGATACCACTGCACCACTCCGTCACTGATTTGTTTGTAAACCTTTTTTGCATATTCTATCTACAACAATATCGCTCCATAGCTTCGTACAAATCTATGGCCATAGTTGTGTTGTGCGCTGCACAGCACAGTTTTCTCTGGGAGGAGACACGGGTCAGATGGCTGTGCTTGTTGTAAACCAGCCTTATCAGATGTCAGAGCCAGGATTTGAGCTGTTTTACATCTCTCTCTGTCTCTCTTTCTCCCTCTCTGTCTCTCTCTCCTGTCTCTGTGAAGATTAAAGTGCCCAAGAGATAAGGCTTTTCAAGTTGACGTGCTCCATCCTGACCAAAACACTCCCTCACTTCCCCAGAGCCAACAGACAGACAAGGAGTTCAAGTCTCCACTGCACCACATTCTTCTTCTTACCCAGTAATGGTTGTGTCAGTCTCATGAACCAGAGGGATGGACAGATCCAAAGTGTTGTCAGAGAGAGTGTGTTCAGGATTGGCACTACAAAAAAAGAGACAAATTAGTCTTCCTTTCTGTAAACGATATCTGGAAGAAGTCATTTTTATTTAAGTGGGGTCAGATTCAATGTCGTAAAAATAGCAGTATAACAAGGGCCAGCTGCTAATCTTACCTAAAATAGGCCTATAATAATGAAACATGTCCACTCTGTTATCTCATCATGTCTTAGCACAAATAAAAATAACAAATACTTATGTATTACATGAATATTATAAGATACAGATATCTTTATACACATAAAAAAGATTAAAAAATGAAAGTGATGATGCCTGTTTTGGCCAAAGTTATTCTACAAACATCTCATTCATTTCAATAGCATATATATCATTGGTGAGGCAAAAACAAATTCATTAAATTACAACACAAACGTACAAGGTATACCCCAAAATGTGATAATTACCTTTTTGCTTGCACTAAGAACTGTAGAGTGTCATTTTCCCCAGACAGACGAGTGGTGTCAAAAATGACTGCAAAATGATACTGAAAAAGGAAAAAAACAAACCAGTAAGTGACTGCAGTATCACCAACTCTAACACCATCAACTATTTTTTATATTTTATTATGAATTCATTCTACAGATAACTTATTTGCTTTAGTAAAAATGTGCTTTTGTAAACATTATAAAAGCTTAGAAAAGAGTCATGGCTGTTTCTCTGCAAACCGTTCAGTTTAGTCTAAGAGAAAGAACTCTTTCTTTGTAAAGCTTTCTCTCGTGGAGCTGCAGTACCTTAGTCTGAGCTCTCATGAAGGGAAATCCCACACTGCATTTTAGGAAGTCCAACTCCACAAGTTCACAGGAAATACCCTTGTCTTCCTGCAAGAAAACAGATAGACATGAGAGAATGAGTGAATGATAGAGACAGACAGACTGGAGACAGAGCAGGTGACACCCAGGGAGACAGAGGACAACAAGAGGAAGGACGGACATGACAAGACGCAGACTAAGACAGGGGACTATCAGTTCTGATAACTGACAAGTGACCATTGTTCTTTGGATGGACATAAATATTTAAATATTATTCACAGGATTTTTCTTAGTTAAAAAAAACTATATTTAGAGAAGTTTTAATTACTACACACATCCACATAAGGCTTGGATTTTGACAATGGATGTTTTTGACAAAGCAGATTAACTGATGATTTAACTTGCCTTTTGTGATTCACTGCACAGTTTAAACTCCCAAAAAGAAAACAGAGCAATTATAGATGGATATTTGTTGTACACAATCTGTAGTTCCAAATTTAGATGGAGGAAGAACGTATGAACATTGATGGCACACACGTCTCAGCGGGTGGGTAATTGGCCGGCCTCCAGGCTGTGTGTTTGGAAGCCTGTCTAAACAATATGGAGCTTCTCCGGCTGCACTGTGTAAACACTCAGGCCTTGACCCTATGACGAGTAAGGATTCTTTTGGCCAGAGTCCACCGAGAGTCTGTCAGTTGGGCTCGTGTGCGCTGGGGTCGGGGGTAATAAAAGAGGGCAGATATGTTACGCCATTGTTGGAAAAAAAAGAGGAAGGGTAAAAAAGAGAAAGAGAGTGAGACAGAAAAGTGCTTCTGGAAGATGTAACACGGACTTACAGTTAGCCATACATTGTTAGCAGTGGAGTCTGGGTTTAAAAAAACCACCCTCAAAACAAATGGATGAAAAATGGTGTGAAGGTTCTCTGTTGACATACAGTATGTAAAGGTCCATCAACATGGTTGTTCCAGTTTCTCAGCGTCTGTCCAGGGTGTGGCTGTGCCCCAGTCTTCATTAAATGACCCTAAATAAGCAGAGATGCCCTTCACATGGGAACTAGCCACTGTATCTGTGGTGCTGATGGCAGCTCTCAAATGGAATTTCCTCTATTTCCTGTATTTCTCTGCGCTGCTGTGCAAACACCGCCTGTCCCACAGGACTGGACTGGATTAGGGAAGTCACTCTGTTTACCCATCACCCACCTGGCAACCCTCGAGAGCCTGAGCAGAGCAATGGGACACAGTGTGTGGATTGTGTTGAAGCTCCACATTACAGTGTGTTTGTTCAGCACTTCTTCACTTTTCTTTATCTTCTTTCGGTACTTTCAGATTTTTTTAAAAACAACATCTGCTCTTGTAAAGTATGATCCTGTTTAGAAGAAAAATGACTACAAAGCACAGTGACAGACCATAATTTTAGGTAAACTGTGTGATATTCAGCTAGCATTCAGAACATGTGATATAAACATCAGATATGACCTGACTATTGACCATTTACTCCAATCCACTCACTTAAGCTTGCAACACTTCCGTCTGGGCCAAATAAATGCCAGTGGCCAACAGTCGAATACTTTAGTTGAGTACATACATGTACACCAAGTCTTTCAATATTGTAATTCAGTGGGTTTTTTAAACAAAACATCGTAATTCAGTGCCTAATCTGGGAATTTTAGAACATCCACACCCACAGTAGGATACAAGAAGTGAAAACTTCTATTTATAAATTTATTGCGCAAACCACTGAACAAAGACTGCAAACAAGTGAGTACTTTTAACAACTGGTTCATTTTATGCTTGAAAGTTTACACTGTAAACCAACTGTAGTCCCTGAAAATAACAGCAAGAGAGCTGAGCTGGAGAATATTTTCCCGTGAAGGGGAGGAGGATTTTTATCCACTGCCAGAAACGCACAATGATACAAACATCTGACAGGGCTCCGACCTTATAATAACAGACTACTCCACTGGTTCAGAGATAAAAAATGAAAACACAGAAGCCGGTGGAAACTAATTCACCTCCACAGCTCCCTGACAGGCTTGTGTTGCAAGAACAACAGCAGGATAACACACACCCCACGCCTGAATATGAGGGCAGTACAAGTCCACACTTAGCTCACTGGTGAAAAAGCCACTTGGGAGTGAAGCGAGTGAACACTCACTTTCATATCATATTCTCAAACTTCTCAAACAGATTACAGAAACGTCTCATTGAGAGTTCAGTAAAACATCTGCTGTGGCGGCGGCGCTGTCGTCTCTGCACTTACTGTCACCTACATGACAAAGAGAACAACTGTGGCTGCTGGCAAGCTGAAACTTTACATCAGTCAGGTGAATTTCATTTGCTATGAAACTAAAACCTGAGTGCTGTTATTCTAATATTTTTTCCAGAACATATATTCTATATAAATTAAATTTGTTGAATTGAATCATGTCCTGTACACGGCTTCTGTGGACAAAGGTCCATGAAGGGGAAAGTTTCTTTTTGATGGATGTCGTCCGCTGCAGCATTTGAAAGTATCTCACAGCAGATGGTTGAATGTGCCTGCTGCTCTCAGCTGCAACTGCTGTCCTTTCTGTGCAACAATTGAGTGAACAGACATGAGCTGAGGCAGAGGTGGACACTGTGAAATCCATCCACATACGGAGAGATCACTAGGAAAATCCATTAGGTTTAATGTGGGATTGGCAGGGGGCTGATATGTCTTTAGCAGAATCACGGAGCGTCTGTCAGAGGTCAGGGAACGCTGCGAGAAGGTTTGATCCTCGTCTAGTCAATGGTCGGTCATGACTTATGTTCACATGGAAACCAAAATACTTTTACCTTTTATAAAGACTGCCATAGCGGTCCATTCCAACACAATGGTGTCATGGTGAAGACCTATAGTACCTAAAGAGCCTAAAACCTGAAGAGTTCCTTTCTAACTCAAATACTTATCAGAACTACTGTAGTTATACATATAACTAGAGTGGAGTTGCTGTGAAGCTTACAGGTGTGCAGTACTGCACATTAGGAGTAATACCACATATACATTATGTAGTGTATACAGTGCACAAATCTGCTGAGACTGCTCATAGTTTTTTGACATGTGTCTGGTTTGAGTAAGTCGGGGAAGTATGTGACAGGTCAAACAGAGGAGCTGAGGCAGGACAGCTGCTGCTGCTGCTGCTGCTGCTGCTGCTCTTCCTCCTACATCTACAGAAAAGTCTGAACTCGGATGCAGACCTACATGTTTTCCTGTGGTATGCCTAACTGCTTAGGCCGCGCCCCTGACATACAGTCATTTTTTTTTTGTTGAGAAAATGTATATTTCACCACAGAAATAATTACACCCACTGACACAGATGATTCAGATGGAAGAAATAAACATTAGCTGCAAATAAAATAAACAGCAGAATCTTCGAGAGATTCAACAAACCTTCTGCCAAAAGTTGATGTAGAAAACCTCTGTGGAGAAGTTGAAGTAGATGTTGGTGTCGTAGGCGTCGTCCCCACTGTTGGAGATGGTCAGGTTCAGAGAGACGTTTCTAATTCCCCCCAGGGCCAAATGGTGCCGGCTGTACAACCTGATGGGAACATGAAATAAATAACCTGTGTCAGATAATAAATAAACAGCTGTAAGATGTTATTGAGGAAGGATAAGAGGAAGCAAAAAAGTTTTATTTACTACAAAATGTTAGTAAACAGACAGAGTGTCAAGTAGGGGTTCACAAGAGGTTTTGGATTTAAAGATGGAATACAGAAGATCAGATTTCAGGGACCAAAAATAAAACGTAACATGTTAAAAACATTTCTTATAAGTGCAAATATTTTATCATCTATTGAATGATTGGAATTTGTGAGTAAAATATAGTAGTAGGGAAAAATGTGTAAGGAGAGAATGTGATAAGATGTTAGATTTTATAGCCAACCTAGCTTTTACTGTGGTGGGAAAAAAAAAGTATGGGAAGTCCACAGTATTTAGAGTTTGCACAATGGATACGAGATCTAAAATAAGACAGCTGGTAACCATGACAGATGTAAACCTTCAGTACGTGTACACGGAGTACAAGATGCATAACAAAAAAGTAAGGGAACACCCTGACTACGGAAAAACATATGGATATCCTCCAAGCATGTGTCATGGTTCCACCATCCACACCCACATGGGCCATGACGTCAGCTTACAAGAAAAGGCAAAGACAGAAAATTAATCTAAACTGTGAAGCTGAAGTTTTCTTCCTTTTTTTTCTTTTTTTTTTACCCAGAAAGCAACAGCTTGCCATGGAGCCTCAGGTCTGCAGCGCAGTCGTCTGACAGGCAGTTCTTCTCAAACCAAGTCTGCGAAGGAAAGTACAGCAAAGTACACAGTTCATATGACCTCACACTGTCCAAACACTGACCACATCTTTAGACTAGGGGGCAGTGTTGTGTTGTTGATGCAGCTGAAGCCATCCAGCAGGTTTTTTATGGAGGAGGATGTAAAATCTTTACTTTGATCTGCTCTTGAATCAGTCAGTGAGTGTGGTCTTTGGTTTTAGACCTAAATCCTGAAGGGAAACTTAAGTCAAGCGTTCAATGAGTGTCATATAAATGACTTCTGAAGGTGCTGAAAGATGCAAAAAAAAAAAAAAGTTTTCAAGAAGTGCAGACTGTGGGGAAACATGTGGGGCAGGTTAGAGGTGGTCGCAATGAAAATAAATGAACAGGTCTTTTTTGGATTCCACTCAAGAAAAGCTAACACATACAATAATAGGTTGGTGACCTAAACCACATCATTATGAGCTGAATTTCAGCTATTTCCTTCACTCCCTCTGTGGTTCGTATATCAGGTGTGGGCAGAAATTCACATACAGTCAAGTCAGCTGAAGATAAGATCTGTATTCTGAGGCTTTTATCAGTACATTAATTTAAGGAAAATACATTAAATCCTCCTCATACAGGAGGAGGAATATAAAGTATTGAGGAGTGATGCATGTGAGATGATCCAGCAGAGCGAGTCAGTCTTAAACCACCCAACCTTCTCTTCATGTTCTGTCCCAACAGGTCAGCTACACTTTCTCAGGACACTGTAATTTTCTGGAACAATCCTTCAGTCTTTGAGAAATAATAATAATAATAATAATAATAATAATAAAGAATACACTAAAGAGTGTAGAGCCTCTGTTACAGTTTGGGGCTAGATTTGTTTTAGAAAGCTAGTCTAGGTCAATTTGGAAAAACCTCCAACAGATGTATTTTATACATAAACAAAACAGCGTTCCTTCTTTTACCTCATTCCTTTCTGCAATCTTGTTTCCTTTCCTCCATCGCAGCACTGGAGTGAGCGAGGGCAGGCCATTCTCCTGGTGTCCGTCCACCACATGCTTCCCCAGGCTGTACGTCACTTCGAAGGTGATGGCAGCGAACACGTCCTTTACGTCTTTCTGCAGAGACCACAGAATATAAGGAGGGAATTTACGAGAATCTGTCCCACCATAGATGTGACATTGGATAAATCTACATTTATACCCAACAAGAACTAACTTGTAACAGCTTTGGTGGTTATTGAAATTTCCAAGTGACGCCTGGCGTAACTATAGACAGCGGTGTGGATTATCTGACAATCATAAAGTCTGGTTATTATCATACGACCGCGATGCTAGTCTAACCAAAGATCCACATGGTTGATGGTAGATGTGGGTTCACACCAAACCACAAAACCATCTAAATTGGTCCCAAATGGATGGGTGACACAAATGTCTCATCAGCTACTATTTATTTGATTTTGTTGAAAGAAAGACTAATAGGGCCACCACTGAAAGTCCTCAGTGAAATGAAATTGAGGAGGAGAAACCCGGTTGGCACTGCCTCTGAGGACCGTCCTCCTTCCTTTGGCAGCTCTATCTGAGACCACAGAAGAAGTGTTTGATTTGGCATCTGGTTTGGAAATTGTGATGGAATTCCTTATCATCATTAGATGACAGAACCAACATTAATGCATGAGAAAAGCTGATACAGTAACTATCAGGCCTACACACCCTATTAGGAGGTTTTCCCAACTTGAATGAAATGGATAACTTCCTCTTTGCTGCAGAAAATAAACGGAAATCTTTCAAATTCAGAAAAAAAAGCTGACTTACTAAATTGGGATGTGGTTGAGTACAGGATTAAATAGACTTGTTTAAACTATTGTTACGCTGACTAACCTCAAATAAAGTCCAGCTGTTTCTACGTAGCTGGATTTTTTTTGCTTTTAACTGAGTTGTATTTTATGGGAAAATCCAACCAATGGGATTTATAGTTGAGCAGTATCTACCATCAGAAAGTTGCCAAACGTTTTCCAGGGCTTTAAAAATACTTTTGAACTGAGTGAAGACGGTTTACACACAATGGAAGAATATATGGCAGAGCAGTGACATTACTGGGAACTGAAGGCTCTTCTGAATTGGGGAAAAAGAAAAGAAAAAAGGCTGCAAAAAGGACAACAACAGTTATAAGAATTTTTGGAATGTGCTGTTTGTGCATGTGACAGTAATCCCTGCTGTTCTCATATATCTGGACAATGGCCATGGTTTGTAAACCAGTTGCCTTTTCCTAAAAAAAGAAGCCATCCAAGCTTCAGCAGACATGACAAAAACTTAAATCAAGTCGACCGAAACCATTTCTGATAAGGCCAGGTTTGGTCCTTGAGGTCATAAATCTGAAAGGTGTTTCTACCACGAGACCAACTGCACACCACCAAAACTGCTGCACTTTTACTATAGGCCATGGCAATGACATCATCATGCCTTGGGGCAGTTTTTTCTACAGGGTTAACTGGAGATGGATTTAAGGGGACAAATTAGGGTTTAGAAGACTGGAGTACCCAGAGAAAACTCCTGCACACCCTCTATATATCAACGAGGACGAGGATATACAAAGTCCATCCAGACAGACCAGAGATCTAAATAGGGAACAAGTGATCTCGAAGCAGAAAATGTATCTCTTCTATTTGTCACAGATCTTCAAAGACTGTTAAAGGAATCTAAGTTTAGCATTTGTGCACAAAACCCACAGCAAAAGCACCAAACAGACACACTGTTTGTTCTAGTGATGTATGAACACGAACTGGACCAAATCCACCAGATAAACAAAGAGACAGGCTGTGGTTTCTAGTGGCCACTCGTCCCTTTGTTTCCTTCCTCTTTGTCTTTTATCGCAGTCATTTTCAGACATCCTATTTCCTCAGACAGGGACGGTCCGGGCTTTGAACACTCCAGCAGTGGACAGTCCACCCGACTCATCAGCAGTGAGTTACAGCAGGAAGCAGTGACTGTTAGTTCAGGATGTGAGTGGACAAAAAAAAAAAAAAAAAAACCCAGAAGATTTGGGGCTCCTTTGGGAAACAGTGCTACACACAGATAAAACAGAGTCAGCCGATAACATCAGTGATGGTTTAGTGATTTTTCCAAACCATTAATCATGTGTATTTTTAATCTATTATTTATACTTTATACTGTATTATTTGATGTACTGTGCTGTCAAATGTTCAAATGTCAACCGACCAATGTAAATAGGTCGATCAGGCCTGAGCTGCTTTTTCAGACCAGCAGGGCTTTAACTTTTGGCAAAGCACTGCTGATGTTAACATCGGATTGTTCACATTATCACCATGACATCAACAGTGTTCTGACACTAAGCAGACATCAGCAGTTGCCAACGTCTGGTTTTTGCCTCACTACAGGCTCTTAACAGTGAACTCAAACAGCTACAGTATGAAGGTAAATGTGTCAGTAAGCAGCGCAACATAAGTGCTGCCGTATACAGGAGTGTGTGCCAGAGTTTTCTTTATACTGTTTTGATTACACAAGTGATATTCTTCTTCTAAACAATTCTCAAAGTATTGTTTCCAGTGAAGAGTTCCATCTACATCTAATGGCTGGTTTAGAGAGAGAGAAACGATTCAGATGTACACAGTACAGATCAGGGGTGTCCAAACTATTTTGGCTCTGGAGCTATTGAAATGACCAGACTGAAGTGATCTACACTGAATATACAAACATAATATATATTTATTCATTAAACTGAACATAATTTATATACACCTTAGATAATGGGGTATGGAATAAATACATGTACCACATATATATATACTGTACATACATACATATATAGAGTATATGTATATATTGGTATGCTCTATATATCAACGAGGACAGGTCAAATGGACCACGACACAGTTGTAAAAACGTTGACCTCCCGTCCGTCCCCAGAGTGCCGTCCATGAACAACAGAGGTGCTGTTGTTCCACCGGTCTGTCAAATCAGCTGGAAGGTAACATGACACAGTGCGGCAGCCACTGCTGCACAATCGTCCGAGTACAACGTGAAGCAGTGGCAAAGTCCTAAGTCTCAGCAGTCATTAAAGCAGAATGTTTGAAATGGCCCCTGTCCTCTGGCCTCTGCCTGAACTGGCCCCCTGGGAATTCACTGCCTGGCTCTGCAGCTCCAAACTCCCAGCACTTATCTCACATTTTCACAGACCCTGGGAGAACCAGAGGGCACTGTGACTCGAGCGACACAGGATGATTTCCTTCATGAAGTTCAGGCAGTAGATTTTTTTTGAACTACCTGGAGGGTTCCCAACATTCATGGAACATTTTAACCAGAGAGTGTTTAGGAACAGACTGCAGCCTGTGGTTTTATTATCCCTGATCAATGCTGCCAATGGCTCCACCTGCATTCACGCCCCAGCCCACGATCATTTACTCTCTCCTGCCTCTGCTTTTAATTCACTTATTTATGGCACTGGGGAATTTCTGAGCTCCGGCCGAGAGGGATACTCAGCAGTGTTAACTGCCTGCTACCTAAAAGTTTATGGAAACAAACCCAACAACTGTGCTTCACATGTTCACAGGAGAGAAGTTGTGACTTACAGTAAAGGCCACAGGAGGGCGTGTCCCCGTCTGATCTGGCATCAGAACTTTGAGATATAAAAGACGATTGAAATACAAAAGAAGAAAAACACTGCATTTACAAAAAAAAGTGAAACGATTTAACAAAAACTCTATTTTAACATAGATTTCAGGGAAGATTTGTAATAAATTAAATATAAATTACCTCTTAAAATGAGCTCTAAGATTGCACTGCTCTATACAATACTGTACTGTACTGTACTGTATTACCTTATACCTCACATTACTGTACAGTATCTCCCAGCTGTGGGAGGCAGCTGCTTTCTTGCATCTCTCTCCATATTTTGCGCTATAATGGGATGTAAATTTACTGTTCACCTTTCAGCAGTTGGGTTTCTTAATGACACACTTGATACAGGCGCTTCCTCCCACAATGCATATTCATATTCCTAACTCACAGGACAGGACAGCCTGCCGATTTGCATATTTCCATTGAAAACAACTGGGATCTGAACCTCCACCTTGAGGACTCACTCTCTGAGGAACAAACTGTCTTCCCGTTCACTGTCTCTGTGTTTATCCACACACCCACTCAGGAGCCATTTATTTAGCACAACTCCTCTCCTCCTTACCCCCTCGGCCAAATGTATGACTTTTTCCTCCACTAGAAAACTCACACGTTTTTACAAAAAGACAAAGACAGCTGTGGTTTCAATAAATCTCACCAAGCTGAGCATATTTTATGGATTTCACCTTGGTCTGTAGTGCTGTTCATGAGCGAGAGCTCGGAGCCTCACATGATAATCTGATCATGGAAATGGCAACGCACCAAGTTGCCCCTTCATGCTCAAAGAAACAGCCCCACCGTGGTGGGTAAGATGAGGATGACGTCAGCCTCTAAAAAGGCTCTGATCCTCAGTTTAAACCACTCGTGCTTGACTGAAATGCTCTTGAGATCCTCTCTCAGCCAAGTCGTTCTCTCACAGGCACACGGCCTAAGCCTTGGTCTTGGGGAGCCTTTATTAACTTGTGAGAGGAACGTGCACACAGCACTCCTTTTTAGGACAATGGACGTCTTGACTCGCAGGTCAAGGCCATTTCATTTAAGGTCTGAACGCTGGGAATTCTTAACTGGAAAAAGTTCTCCAGTTAACAGACAAATGGATTTTTTCTGTCAAATCTTCGGGTCGTGAGTGTGTGTAGTAAGACAAAGGGGGAGTGAGAGGTTTGAAGGGCGGCATTTATAGTAATTTTGGCGGCAAACATCAGACACCTCATCCTTGTAAAAAAACAAGTAGTAAGACAAATAGTGACATTTTTAGTACGTAACTCTCTGCTACATTGCCTGTGTGTCAAACTCTGGCAGCTGCTCAGCTCTGAACAGATTAACAGATGTTGGGACGCCTTCAGTGACAGT